ACATCACTAGGCTAGAATCAAACCACTTATTTATGTACATCTAAATGATTAATATGATGCATCTATGTTGTAAGAGCAAATAAATCAATAAAAATATCCCTTGTCCCTATCCACCCCTAACTATTTTCCACTTTAAATAATATAAAAGTACCTACTAAGAAAATATTGGGGGGTTCTTTTCGCGAAGTAACGTAGCTTTGTTATAAAACTGCTGGAAAATATTTCTTAAAACCACTAAACGCACTATAAAAGCTTCCAGAGAATGTTGTAATAACATTCATAACATTAGAAGTGCCAGAAGCTCAAAACAGTCGAACAAATAGGATATTACACTGCAGCAAGCCGTGAGCGTAATATTTTGGGCTTTCTATAGTGAAATGTTTTAAATGACCTAAGGCTATATATTAGCTTATGTGATAGTCTCGTTAGGGTATATAGCTTACGCTCCCTCATATTATGTTCTTTGTTTAGTAAGGTGGTTGGGATGATATGTACTTAGCGACGTATAGTGAAGATAGGTAGCAGTAGTAGTAGAGCTCCTTGTGAATAAGTTCGACCAGGGATGTACTGCCTTACCTATTTCTGCCGCCTCATATGAGACTTGTCAACTTACGTCTCAGGATCAAATCTTTGCGATTTAAAGCTCTGAGTGGCACTGCAACTGTTAGGGCGTGTAGCTTACTACCAGGCGCATGACTTGTTCAGCCCGTTACTTGATGTAAACTCGTGAAAAAAAATCTCCTTTTTATTCACCATGGAACAGATACATTGCCTGATTTCCCGCTACGTCATACAGGTCGCAAAATATCACCAGAGGTGGTATTACAATACGATTTGGAAGACAATAATTGACCAACTCTTAATTTGAATCGCTCACAGTTGTATAATAAGAATTTATTTTTCTTTCTGTTGGATCTTTGTATTAATAACAATACCGAACTAGTGCATTTTTTCAATTATCCCTTAGCGCTTGTTTATCGTGGTGCATATTTATTATTTATATTTTTTATAACAAAGTTCAATAGTGGATGATTTTTACGAGTAATAAAAATGGAAATAAATTAATTTGCTATTGCGCGTCCCCAGTGTAGGTTAAATTGTGCAAAATAGCTGCGCTTGTATTGAATATTTTTTCAGGCGGTGTATTTTTCCACTCTCCTTCGGCATACAATTCAGGGTTATTTTTAAAATACTAAATACCTCACAGAACTATATTACTAAAATCATAAACAACAACATTATAAATTTACAAAAAAATAAAGATTTCACTTTTTGTTCACACTTTATTGATCTGTATTTGGTAGAATAAGTTCAAACGTGCAAGCTTTCTTTTGTGAGGACTCCCACCCCCGTCCTGCATAGAGTTGTTACCGTTTAGAGCGATCTATTTAAATCTATTTATTTTTGTATGAAAGTAAAGTCTGATGAATTATTAAAAGTCATGGAGCAAAAGCTGTTGTTTATGATGTTAGTAATATAGTCCTGTAAGGTTGTTAGTATTTTAAAATTAATCCTGTATATAACACCACAAAAACAAACCCGACACGTGTTTCGCCTCTCTACGAGCTATCCTCAAGGATTGTTGATTGTTAATGCTCGGCCGAAAGAATGTACTCGTCCAGAATGTTGCTAATATTTATAACACACTACCCCCACTATTACCATCGTTATAATTTTAAAATACCCGCAATAAAGGTGATGACGCAGCATTCAATGTTCATTGCTGTATTTAATTATTTACGCCTGTTCTAAAATTATATTACTCGTAAAATAATGAATATGTATATAATAATATAAGTCTGCAGTACACTGTTGTTATTTATTTATTTATTATAGTTTCAAGTGGTAACAAACACTGCTCATTTTCCTTTTATTTAGTCGAATATTTCCCAAGTACCGTCACTAGACTCGCACCTTGTAAACCAAAGAGACAGACTGACCGATGCGATGAGGACAGCTTCACATAGGTGGACAAGGGAAAGAAGAAGCCAACCAGCTATACAGCACAATACCGACAGGATTGAACTTTGTGCTGCGTTTGGCCATACCGACGACGCTGCTGTACCTGTCGCGACTGTATTACTCCACGAAGTCTGAGGAGATAGTGAAGTACATCAGGCTAAAAGTTAAACACATCCTGAGGGTCGACCGGTTAGAGTCCCGCCACAACATAAATTTTAATTCTTTTGTGTTGAGAGTACCGCCCGATTATCTATCGACCTTCATGAAAGGAGTTTGGCCGAAGGATGTTGTCTACCGGCGATTCCGAGATCGGTTGCCAGACACCATATTGCGCCACACATCGCCTACAAATGCAATTCGTGTAAATTAGTTATTTGTTTTTTATATTAGATTTGTATGTTACATGTATTTTAGTAATTTAGGTTATATATTTTATGGGTCATAGCTGCCTGTTTTAAATAAATAAATAATATAGAATTTCTAAAAGGGTGATCACGGATGGTTCTTCTCAGTGCTTTTATTACCAAGTCTCTCCGTGCTTCTATTTTCTCTCGTCTTTATATTAATGAACTACAATTCTATTTTCTAGTATAGTCTTAATTTAGTGCAATTGTCCTTTATACTCCTGCACGTATCACGAATTGTAGAGAATGTTTCGTTTCACGTTGCAAACGTGGTTCAGCTACATTAGTACCGATATAGATAATTTTAAAATAAAGGTTAGGATCATTTTTGTTCTATAAATGATATTTAGAAAAGATATCAAAAATAAAAAGCGTTTGCGATAATTTACGAAAATTTTACCGAAAGGTGACAAGATTGTAGTTGTTAAATAGGTAATAAGGCCAGCACTGTTGTATGTTAGATGCCATTATAAAAAATACACAATAAAAAATATGTCTCAATTTGTCACGAGTTGTTGAACAGGTTCTTCGATTAAATTAGTAAAATATTAAATAAATATATAAATTAGTAAATTAGTAAATGTATGCTTATATTGGAAAGGCCTCTCAATTTCCCTAGCTTAAAACTGAGAAATAACAAAACGTTTGGGTAAGGCACATGAGACTTGTCAACTCAGGGCACAGGGTGACAGGCGCAGTGGCAGTGTCCCTCAAATTTTTGCGTTTTAAACATCCGAATGGATTTGCAATTAATAAGGATAGACGTGGTGATATGGTGTGACGGGCCGTGACCTCGACCTTTTTAAATCATTTTTGAGTGGGAGGGTACAGAGGATCGATATCAACAGTACGAGCTCATCAGGGTCTGTAATTAGAATGGGTGTCCCTGAAGGTTCAATTCTAGGACTGTTTTTGTTTTTTGTTTATAGTAATTCTTTACCTTGTGGAGGGTATAGAACAAGAGATAGTATTGTTTTGCTTTTGATACTTTTTTATTATTTAAAGTTAAAATGCACCAATGTTCCTATGACGATGTGTACAATGCTATATCTACTTAAAGTAGTAAATTGGTTTACAGTTAATAACGTGCCCTTTACTTGTATTTCTAGGTATAATTTTAGATGCTAAATTGCAATGGGGTCCACATTATCAAAACGGCACAGCTCTGCAGTGTACGCGATTAAAAATATTCGAAAACTTTCAGACGTAGAAACAGCTAAATTGGTTTACTTCAGCTACATTCACTGTTTAATGACATATGGCATTTTGCTTTGGGGTAATGCCGCCGATATTAATAGCATCTTTGTCCTGCAGAAACGTGCGGTTAGGGCAATTTACAATCTAGGCCACAGAGTGTCTTTGAGAGATAAGGTTAAAGAGATTAACATTCTTACACTAACGTCACAGTACATTTATGAAAATGTTATTTATGTTAAGAAAAATATTAATTTTTTTCTGAAAAATAGTGACAGACACAATATTAATACGAGGAATAATAATAAAATAGCCGTTCTAGACAGTCGTCTTCATAAAGTCTCAAATTCATTTAAGGGGCAATGTATACAGTTCTATAATAAGATTCCGATTGATTTTCAAAATTTGCTATTTTCGAGGTTTTAAACTATACCTAAAGTAAACTATAACTAAAGGTTATCATACAGCTTCTGCGTACTTGGATGACAAAAACCCGACGTAGTGACCCATTTAGCTCTTGTCCGGGTAGTCTAGATCTAAGATGTTTAAACTAAATACTGTAATGATAAATGTATTACGATGGAGCAGCAGAATTTAGTTAGTATGACGATTTCAAGAGTAATTTGCTTACCTATGACATAAATATTATTTGACTTTGACGTAGACTTTTACTTTGCATGTCGCTTAACACCAGGCGCTCGACTCGTTAGTCCCGTCACTTGCTATAATAAAAAAAAAATAGTATAGCAATGCAATTTACATGGATTTTGAGTATGCGAACGCCGAAAATTCGAGTCATAAAATAACGATAGTCTATAAAATTACGCAAGCAATAATTTGACCCAAAAACTCTTATATTGGCGCTATTTTCTTAAGAATTTATGGTATGCTAATATAAGCGTTATCTCTTTTCTAAATTTCTTTCCCTTCTCGTAGGCCCGCCTTTTACTAGTCAACCCACTTTATTTTGCTTTGGCTTGCTCAATTCGGAATAAATAAAAGGCTACAGAAATTCAACTATTTTCGACATTGCATCTTCGATATGTTAAGTTTTGAGCATGTTAAGGGTCCTTTGGAAGAGGTATTTTTTGTTCTAAGCAAATTTTGGGACATTGCAACAGTTTATATTTCAGTTTTGTCAAATTGGACGCTTATAGAAGCGCTGTAGTGGGGCCACTTTGGCACAGCAGACACGCTACTACTAATTTCATATAACATTTAAAAGCGCATCTGCAGCGCCACTGTCGTAGCACACGCGCGTCACTATTGCAGTCACAATTAGTTAACTAATAAGTACTGAAGCGCTACAGATGCGCGGTGATAAAGGTGTGATAAAGGTGTTGACCTTAGGTAGTCTTAGTAGTTTTTTTACAAAACTTGCACTTGTGTAACAGTTTTATAAGTTACGTTTATTAACACATTTTATTCTTTCTGTTACAGATGTTCTACAACTACAGCTCTACTTCTGAGGACTTAACAACCATGAGGTGGCATTCGTGAAAACGAACATGGATAAGAATAAGAAGAAGAATCACGTCAACGGGAAATATAAGAAAAATGGTAAATCTGACAACTACAGAGTCGATGACGATGTTCTTACGACTTGTTGCCTTTGCGTCAAGACCAAAAAGACTAAGAAGAACAATTTAGTAGCTGGCTGTATCACCAACCTTGGTATATTTGTCCTCCTTCTAGCTTACACTTTACTTGGAGCGTTTATTTTTCTTGCCATCGAAGGAACAGCAGCGAAAGTCCATCAGAAAACACTTGCCACAACATCTTATCAGGCAGAAAACCAGAAGACTGTCCAAACACCTAAGCTTAATGGGAGTATCGCGCAGGCAAGTGCTGAATTAAGATCTCAGACAGTTGAAAGTATTTGGGAGATCACTGTATCTTTGAACATTTTATATAAAGAGAACTGGACTAGATTAGCAGCTCAGGAGATAGCGCGGTTCCAAGAGAAGTTGGTGGCTCGAGTGGCAGCGGATGTTTCAGCTCAATATGGAGGAGCGAGGGCTTTGGAATCTGCGCCAGCATTGGTCATCGACGATTATGAGTGGAACTTTGCGAAGGCTTTTCTTTATTCTCTGACAGTTCTTACTACTATAGGTATGTACGATGTTTGAAAAAAAAAATACAAAGGAAAGTTTTGTTATCCACTATCCAATTTTCTATTTATTGTTGAAAGTAAAGTATAAACATGATTGAGGGATTAAAATTATTAATAAAAATATTGTTTATTGACAGGATATGGAAGCGTGGCTCCAAAAACTGCACTCGGGAAAGCTGTTACTATTGGATATGCTGTTATAGGTATACCACTAACCCTACTCTATTTATCAGTTGTTGGAGCTCTGCTATCAAGATTGGCTCGAAGCGTTTTCAGCAGAGCACTATGTTGCTGCCTATGCACAAAATGTGGATTCTGTTGTCTTGATGAACGAACATTGGCCAGCAAAGAACGAAAGGAAAAAGTCAGAAGGCAAGAAGAATATACTCGGAGTCAAACACTGCACCTTCAAGAGCCATATTACGTAAGATCACCATCTGGAACAATTATCTCCGCGTCACAAGCACACAGCGTCAGCTCCAATTCCATAAAAGAAAAACCTCAAGGTCTTGGTTTTCTGAGAGACTGTGATTCCACAAGTTGCACTGATACAGATTCTAAGGTCTCCTTACGTGGATTTTCCATTCTGGCCCCAGTTTCCCTATGCCTTGTCGCAATATTTTCTTACATATTCTTCGGCGCTCTGATTCTGTATCAGCTTGAAGGATGGAGTCCAATCGATGGGGTTTATTTCTGCTTTATGAGCCTCAGTACAATTGGTTTTGGGCATTTAGCTCCAGGAGCTACACAAAAGAATGGAGCGTCTACTGGTACTGTATGGTTCTGCTCGATTTACATCATGACTGGCTTGGCTTTGACGGCAATGTGCTTCAACGTTTTGCATGATGAAATTGTTCACCGTTTGAGGCACCATGAAAAAGTCTTGAAGGCGAATCAGAAAGTTCTGACTCCGGAATTCTTGCGCAGATCTTGACGAGACGAAGGTAATTTATCTGAAGAAACGACGGTGTCAGAAGGGGAGTCGTTACCTGAAGTCTTGCATCATATTTCATCAAGATTTATAGGAGGAGCTGTAAGAAGATCTGTTCATACCTTTAAAGAAGAGAATGAACCAGGTAGAACGACTCTTACGTAAATTATGCTATTTCGTGTTGAGTGTTTTTTGGAGAAATCTGAAATTTTTTATGTTATCTTCGAGTCAAAGTTTGTATGCCAATTTTTTGTAGATTTTTGATACGGCAACGTTTTAAGCTATGTTTTACACCCGGAGTAGAAGGTAATATAGTTGTCACACTCTAACCTATATTATTTTCATTATTTATAATGTTTCGTTTGAATGTATTGTATTTAGCCAATTTTTTTAATAAGTGTAGATATCTTAGAGGTACTAATTGAAATTAATTTCGTACTTGCTTTACAAAAGTAACAAACTTGTACGTCATTTATTGAAGTGTAGTCTACAAGCAGGTACTCCTTTGTCACCGTTATGCTGTTCTTGTTAAATCGATTCTTGAATGCTGTCATGCTGCTATTCTTCAAAATGCAAGATCGTTGAGCTGTATTCGTTTTTCCGTTTCTATCATACGACTCTCTGTCAGAATATATGAATGTCAAAAAATCAGTTTGTAGATGGACCGTGAGCAGGCTCAAAAGTGTTAACAATTATGTACCAGTTAAGTGAAAAATGACTGACCACATTTTATTTGTAGGATATAATTACTAAACATTCTTAGAATAGTAAATAACCTTTTATTAACGCGTTAAACTACACCTTAGCCAGTTTTCAAAAGCGCATTTGCTATTTAAATTCAGGTAATGTAAAGAAAACACATTTTATACTAAATTTTTGATAAATAGACTTGTGTTAATTGTTTTAATATATTTTTTTAGATAGATGTTTTTATTATTGTTGATTCATAAAGCAAATATTGTACTGGCTTATTGTTTTATTCAAGTTGCATACTTACGTAAAGTACTTTGCCACTGAAGTTTATAAGTCGAAAATCTGAAACCTAGATCAATGAATATTCTTATATATTTTACAGGAAATAAAGATTCAACTAACGAAAAAGCAGATTTTAATTTCTTTGGAAAAAAATGTTTGTAATTTTTTGTTTGTGTGCGCTTTGATGTACATGTTGTTTATTTAAGGCCTATTCAGATAAAAGCGATATATAGAAGAGTGAAGAGTGTGTGTAGCGAAAAATACCCCTCTGAGTATTCTAAAGTTTGGCGGCTAAAGCGAAATCGAAATACCGCACCATACCGCCCAGGCCGACGGTCAGTTAGTGACGATTAGTTGACATAATAGAATGACTGATTTGCGATTATGACATCGAAACACCGAAATGTCAAATTTCTTATTCATTGGTCTTATTCATTGATGGCACAGAAGTGATCATCTAGTCGGGCTAAAATCAAGAAAGTTTCGCCACCCATAGCGATTGCGATATCCACTTAGGTGTGAACAGGTCTTAAAGGCCGTTTCAGATATACGCGATATTCGCTACCGCTGTGGGTGGCGAAATCCGAGTGGGTATGCGATATTCCTTATGTTCAAGCTACGCGGAATTGTTACCGCTATGGGTAGCGAAATCCATTGTTTATTATTGTGTCAACTAATCGTTACTACCTGGCGGGCTCTGCTGAGGGGTGAATTTAATAGCTTCAGAAATATAGGAAACATACCACGTACCTGGGCGGTGTGGCGCGGTATCCCGGGTTCGCTCTAGCCGCGGAACTTCATATAAATACCCGACGGATACTGTGCAGTATTTTTCGATGCCCACACCGGTGGCGAGTATCGCTTATATCTGAACAGGCCTTTAAGCATCTTGAATCTAAATAGTAAAAATATCTGTACAAAACATTGTTAAGTGAATAATTGAAAAAGTAAATGCCAAATTACTATAATATATACTTAATTATCGAGTTTAACAATACGATTTACCCCTTTATGAAAAAGTTGTGTAACGACTATCAATTGCTATCTAATAAACCGGTTGTCTAGTCATTGGATAATCATAGACAATCGTTAATCTACTTTATTGTTTATTAAATAATATTAGCAACAACCAATTAAATAATTACAATGTAAATTGTAACTTGGTTGGTATACCAATCAACCTGTCCTAGAAATATTTTAGGACGAGTGAATAGTAAATTTAGGAAATTTGAAGTGTGAATATAGTTTTAAATATATATGGGATTGTACGAAAAACGACATCTTAAAGATAGATGAATAAAAACTTTAAACAATATAAAAATGTTCTTATTCCGAGATTTTTCTTTTATTTTGTTTATGATACCAAGTGCGACAATATTGCGACACGATTGTCCATAACAATTACAATGCCGCACAGAGCTTTAAATTTAATCTAAGGGCATTTACTTAATAGGTACTACGTACGATACACGCAAAATAGGCGACTCGACGTCGAGTTGCGGAAACTAGCCCGTTGCACCAAGTACCAAGTAGATACTACGTAACAGATAAATAAATAACACACACACTCATAGCCCCGCACTAGGGAAACCCTGTATCGCTGGTGCCATGAACACACATAGGTAGACAACCACAAATTACATCCAAACTCACGACAGAAACAAACGGAGGCCATACAAATATTTCTCCCGACCCGGGTATCAAACCCAAAACCTCTGCGTGGTAGTTCAGTATGATAACCGTTCGGTCACTGAGGCAATTACATCACTTTCATACAAAATCGAAAATACCTACGCTATAATAGCTTACTAAATCTGACTAATGACAGGTGCTCAATACGAGAAAAAAGGAACCTGAACACGCGCTTAGATAGGTGAAAATAGCATTGTCCGCCGTGTGTACTCCGGGTTGTACTGTAAATAAAACACTTCTGAGCGCTTGCACTGTCGCTGATATACTCAGCGGTAGGCATTTGTCGCGTAACCTCAAACAAGTGACAGACTAAGGGTACAGCCACTGCGACCGTCAGTCACTCTACAAGTTGAAAAGTCCCATGTACACATGCACCTATAATTTCAACAGCACCCTTACCCTTTAAAACCGAATTGCAGTAAGCCTCACATTATTAACACAGTATATGATGGCACTGTCAGTTTTTTGGAGGCTATAAAGGTTTTGCCGTTAGCGGCAGAAAAAGTAAGGTGGCAGTACGTCTCTGGGCCGAACTCTTCCACAGGGAACTCTATTGCTACTAAATTGTATATCTATATCAGGCTACAACAGTCCTGAGCCAATTTTTTTTCTTAGTAAGGGGGATATCATAACCATAACTTTTTATGGAGCATTATACGACTATATTTGCACTATCTTACAAATATAATTTATCAAACACCAGGTAAACTAAAAGCAAAACAGAGTCTATAACAACGCAAACATTATATGATGATACCCTGTGTCGCAGGTGTCACGGGCGCAGACATAGACTACCACAAATTACACCCAAACCCATGAGCAAAATAAATGTAGACCGTACAAATATTTCTCCTGGCCCAGGAATCGAACGTGGAACTGTATGATACCGTTCGGCCACAGAGGCAGTTGAATCTATGAAGCAAGAAACATCTTGTTCGTCTGAAGGAGTCGTATTAGGCCTGGTATAGACTAATTACGTTAGCAGTAGTGACAATTAAGCCTTTATATTACCACGGCTACCCACGAAATTAGGCCAAAGTAAAGCTAGACCAAAATAATGGGAGGCATTAGTACGACGATTACGTTACGTACTGAAATGGGGACTGTAAGTCTACCACATTATCCATATCAACCTCCTTATTATTTGTATCGAAAATTTTGATTCTTCGTGTGAATTTAGGGTCACTACACAAATTGCCATACAAAATTGTTTAACAATTAACAGGGCTGTTAGCCACTATCGAAATCGTGAACTCATAGTAGCACTATTCCAGTTACGTAAGTTTACATGGAGCTGAAACAAAAGATAGTATATAGTCGGATTTTAATTAGAGATAAGAAACTGAAAGCCGCTAATGTCATTTTGAAAATAATGTTGCCATGTTTATTGTATATGTGTTTGATCCAGTTCTCAATGTACCTACTGAAATAGAATCGGCCAATCAGAAAATGCACACACACACATCCACACACGCACCCACAATCATGCATTTTTTTATTCATATATATTTTATTTTATCTTATGACTTTGTATAAAAGAGATGCCGATAATATAATGCAATACTCATCCACTATCATAAACGTCTTGCGTGATAACCACGACACAGGCGTGGCCTAGTGTAGTTATTACA